TTGTACTGGATATTCTAGCCAGGACAATTAGAAAAAAAAATCCATACTGGAAAGAAAGAAGTACAAATATTCTATGTGCATATGACATGATCTTACATGTAGAAAATTACAAAGAATCCATACAAAGAAAAAACTATTAGTGCTAATAAATCAGTTCAACACTATAGGACAGAAAAGATCAATATGCAAAATTTAGCAGACAAACCCAAAACCTACACACTAACAATGAATAACCCAAAGATGACATTAAAGTAAACAACTCCATGTGTAATAGTGTAGAAAAGAATGAAACACTTAGAAATTAATCTGATCAAATAGATGCAAGACTTTACACTGACAACTACAAAACAGTATTGAAAGGAATAAAATATCTAGATAAGTGGTAAGATATTCTGAGTTCATGGACCAGAAGACAGTGCTGTTGAGACTCCTGAAATATTCAGACAAGAAGCCACGTTAAAGCCGAGGTGTGTCCTGGCCTGTTCAGGGAAGGTATACTCTAAACCCTATCTTCTAGTCTCCCAAAATCTTCAGACAAGGTAGGGCGACCTGTCTTCTCTCTGTCTCTGGCTGGTTGGCTCTCCGTCTCACACTCTCTCTTTAAATTTTTAATTTTTTTTAAAATTTTTCAAACAAGTCTCCTCACCTTGGGCCTTTTCTTTCACTTGTTAATTTATGAAGTCATTTTAAAGCTGAGGTGTGTCCTGGCCTGTCTGTGCTAGCACACTGTGCGGTTTTCATTTTTTATGTGCAAAAATATTTTTCCCTCTTTTTTGGTAGTATCTTTCTAGTTTTTCTTTTTCATTTTGCTTATTTTTTTTAACATTACTTTCCCACTCTAAGCTTCACTCTCCACAACTCAATGTCTACATAGGTCTAGGTGCACAGTAGCCAAGCATCTGAATACTATGAGAGTCAATGAAATCCTCAATGCTTATTGAACCTGCTTTAATGAAGAAATTTCTTTTTATAAATCTGAAATCCATCTTTTTGTGGATACCACATTGTGAAGCAGAGTGGAGAATAGATTTTGTCACAGAATGACCAGAAACAACTACAGGGAAACAAGAAGGATGAGAAATCAAGAAACTATCTCTCCCTTAAGGGAAAAGAACAATCCCTCATCATCCACAAACACTACAGTAGATCTCATGGAAACATCTAATAGAGAATTCAGAATATTCATAGTGACAAAACTAAATGAGATGCAAGAGCTGAGAGATAATGAACTCCATAAGATGAAAGGGACCAGCAGTTAGTGTAATGGCTATGTCACTGGACTCCAATGTAGTCAACCGTGGTTCGAGTCCCAGACCCACAGCTTAAACTCACGCCAGGCATGTTTGTGTGCATGCCCAAGACCCCAAGAGGATAATGGAGGAAAAGGGATTGCGGCGTGGTCATCCCTCCTGGGGGGCGATTTTTCGCTGTCTCTCTATCTCTCTGTCTTTCTGGTGAGTGCATGCGCCCTGTAGCAAAGACCTCTCAAGAAAAAAAAAAAAAAAAGATGAAGGAGAAAAGCAACGAGTTCCAGTAGGTATTGAAGTTCTTCCATGATATGAAAGAGGAAATAAAAAGGGAATCAAATGAAACTATTAGAGATGAAGACTGCCATTCAGGAAATCAAAACCTCCCGTGAAAGTATTAAAGGCAGATTAGTCCATGCAGAAAATCAAAAAAAATGTTGAAGGCAAAACCTCTGATCTAGAAAAACAACCCTCCAAAAAAACTGTGAAAATAACCCAAAAATATGAAAATACTATATGAGAAATACTAGACAGCATTAGGCGCCCAAACATCTGGATAATTGGTAACTCAGAAGCTGAAGAAACTAATAAGGGCATTGATAATCTATTCCAAGAAATCTTGGAAAGAACTTTCCAAATCTAGAGAGGCATTCAAATATCCAGACCCAAGGACCCCACATAGAATCAACCCAAGATCTTCTCCAAGGCACATCATAGCCAGACTGGCCAAATCTACAGACAAAGACAAGATACTAAAGTTGGCAGGAGAGAAATGTCAAGTTACTTATAAAGGTTATCCCATCAGGCTAACCTCAGACCTCTCATCAGAAACAATGTGAGCAAGGAAGAATGGGAAAATATATTCAAAGTGTTAAGTGAAAAACAGTTTCAATCAAGAATACTATACCTGGCAAGATTATCTTTCATATGGAAAGAAAGAATAAAAACATTCTCAGATAAACAAGACCTGAGACAATTTGCCAATAGCAGACCCACTTTTCAAGAAGTTCCGAAAGGGGTGCTCTACCACGAAAACTAAAGACACATAAAGAAATAAAATAACAAAAGGCAACCAAGAAAATGACCAATTTAATGCTAGAGACAAGAAATATCAATAATAATGTTGAATGTTAACTTCCAGGATGTAAACAGAAAGATTGGACCACAGTAACACTGGATATTCAACAGAAGAGAGTTTGAACATAAGACTCAAATGGTAAAATAGAATTTTATGACTTTTGAGTAAAATATTACTGAATTCTTTTTTTAAAATTTTTTTACTATACTTTGTTTTCCTAATTTAAACATTTTACTTTTGAGTTGATGATGGGTTTAGCAATTTGATAAAATATTTTTCTTGCTTGTTTCTTTAAATGGAAACAAACTTTTCTTCATTCCTGACCCCTATTGAATTGGAAATATTTGGGAGTATTCTTATTTTGTGGCACAAGGGTTACTTGCATAAATTCAATAATGGTTGTTGCATGAATCAGAAATTGGAAATACTCTTTATTGGACAGGGCTTTGACTAGAATGTCATTACCTGAAGATGAATCAGAAAACTATGGGACTAAGGGGGATCTCAAGTAAGCCAACGGAAGCTCCTAGAAAGATGTCCTGGCACCATAAATAGTTCTGCCTGGCAGAGAGGATTAGAGAAGATATATTAAAGAATTTATAACATAAAATAATGTGGACTTTTCCAGCCCAGTATTGTAATCCATAGAGACTGCAAAAGAGCAACCACACCAGGGGATTATCTTGAGAAAGACTTTGAAGGAAGAAAAAGAAACTGATCTTTGCTAGCAGACAGCATATCACAGAATACTTGGTAGGCAGGCCTGAACTGAGAAGGTTTATGTGTCACTAATGTGTTGGGCATTTGCTTTCAACAATTTGAGTAGTTGACATATACGAATTTACTCAAAAATATTTAAAACCATACTGTCTCTGTTGTTATAGAGTCACAAATGAAATTATACAAAATTATAAGAAATATTTTGAATATTATCTTTAAAATTCAGTAATCTGAAAACATGAAAGTTGTTTATTAACTGTCAAGAACAATGGAGTATGAGCAAAAATGTTGTGATATATAAAGGAAATGTTTGATAAAGGAAATGTTTGTGGGAAAATATAAAAGTAAATTAATAAATGCGGGGAAAAAAAGAAAATTGTGTTGTAAAAATGACTCCGTTCAGGGCCAGCAAGTGGCATGGTGGTTAAGGCTGGACTCCCACATGGCTGACTGTGGTTTGAGTCCTGGACCTGGCTTGCTTTCTCATTCTCTCTTTCTGGTGAGTGCACATGCCATATAGCAAATTAAAATAATGGTAACAATAATAAATAAAACTACATAAATAATTTTTAAAAAGAGATTTTTTTTTTAAAAGTACCATTCACATATCACTAGGGCTCCCACAATAATGCAATTTGAGTGCTACTTGCTTGATGCCTTTTTTTATTTTTATTTTTTGAGAGGTTTTTGCTATAGGGTGTGTGAGCTCACCAAAAAGAGAGAGACAGAGAGACAGAAAGTGAGAAATCACCCCTGGGGGGATGGCCATGCCGCTACCCTTTTCGTCCATTCTCCTCTTGGGATTTTGGGCACACATGCACACATCCTGCGTGAGTTTAAGCCACAGGCTCCGGGACTTGAACCATGGATGACTACATGGGAGTCCAAGAATGTAGCCATTACACTATCTGCTGGTCCTGCTCGATGACTTTTAGGTCCCAGGCCAAAATCAATACTAGAGAAAGCAGAGCATATCTATGTAAATTCCAGTCTCTCAGCCTCTTTATACCTTAGGTCCTTTTTTTTTTTTTTTTTTTTTTTTTTGCTTTTCCTCATTTGAAAAGATGGATAGGCCTTTTGAGCCACTCTTTGTCCGCTCAGGCCTGCTCTTACCTCTTCTCAGGAGTGTGCTTTCACTTTTAAACTATCATTTCCTTTCTTAAAAGAAAACCTTGAAAAAAATGAATGGCTCTTGCTCTTTTTCAATAGAATAATTTATTTAATTTTATTTATTCATTAATTTATCTTAATTTGACTAGAGAGAGACACATGGGGAGCAGGGGGAGTGAGAAAGCAAGCCACCAGGACCAGGATTCGAGCCATGGTTCGCCATGTGGAAGTATCCAGAGCCTTAGCCACCATACCACCTGCTGGTCCAGAATGACTCTTTATTATAATAATTTCTTTTTATAGAATTATTTAATTTCATTTATTATTCTCATTTTTAACTTGACCAGAGAGAGAGAGACAGAGTGAAAGTGAGAAAGCAAGCTGCCTGGTCCGGGACTTAAACTGCAGTAAGCCATGTGGGAGACTAGTAACTCAATCACCACACAACCTGCTGGCTCCAAAAATGGATGATTCTTAAGGCATTCTTTCTTTTTTTGTTTTTGGAGAGGTTTCTGCTATAGGGCGTGTGCGCTCGCCAGATAGACAGAGACAGAGAGACAGAAAGAGAGAAATCACCCCCCAGGGGGATGGCCACGCCGCAATCCCTTCTCCTCCATTCTCCTCTTGGCATCTTCGGCACACACGCACAGTTTTAAGCCACCGGGTCTGGGACACGAACCACGGTCGTCTACATGGGAGTCCAGCGACATAGCCATTATGCTAACTGCTGGTCCCTCTTAAGGCATTCTTTTCAGAGTTCAAACTGGTCTAACCAATAACTTTATAATGTTTTTACATGTAAATAGATTTTACATGTGTTCAACTTAGATTTCACTTACACCTTGTGTAAAAACTGCATCCCATGCCAGGCCTGAAATGTTCCGAAGCTCAGTTCTGTGATTAAATTACAACCAAGATTTCTACAAAAACAAACAAACAAAAAAAGACATAAGTCAAAGAAGAAGAAATACATTTTTTCAGAACATTTATCACTTGGCAGTGATTTTAATTTACATAAGATAAAACATAATTTTAGTACTTTTTCCATACACTCCAGAAATCTACTGTGGAAGCCACAGGCTTACAATGTCAACTTGCCTATTTACACATGTGGTACATTAGATCTGAAACAGTGAATGCTCAATAAATACTGCTGTTGAGTGATCTTGACTTTTTAAAACAGAATTTCACAACTTCAAGACGTCAACATTGTGGGCTGGATATTTCTTTGTTGAACAAGTCTGTCTTCTACATAGCAGGCTGTTTAGCCGCATCCCTGGCCTCTGCCTACTAGGAGCAGTAGCACACCCAGAGCTGTGACAACCCAACATGTCTCCAGACATTGCCAAATGTCACCCGGGTACCAAATCACACCAGCAGAGAACCACCGGTCTATAATGACTTACTCTGACCTGTGTAATAATTCTTACACTGATCTTTGTTAGAGATGAAGAGGATTTCTATGTAATTTTAGTAACTTCCTACTGGAAAAAATTAATCATATTTTACAGGTTTCTAATTAAGTTTTATAAAAATGTCAAGTATAGTAAAGTTATAATGGTAACTTACAGAAACTTCAAAAACGGTAGTGCCTCAAATGTACCTCTCTCAATCGACTGTATTTTATTGCAGGATAAATCTCTAGGAAAAAAGAAGCAATATATTGCCTTGATTAGCTGTTACATCTAATTAATAGAAATACTAGAGTTTAGGACTGATAATGACTACATAGTTTTGTCTGAACTTGTATTAGAGCTTTTGAGATCCCCTAACCCTGCCTATACCTCTCCTAAGAGTCACACATCCTTGATCTTTATAAATAAAATATACAACTATAGATATCTTGACAGGTTTAGGAGGTAATCATCCCCAAGGTCAGAAAAACTGACTAGATGACCTTTTGTAGTCTCATCAAATTCTAGATTATGGGCTCAATGGTTTTCATCATGTATGTGATTTCTACTATTAAAAGAATTTTCTCACATTTATATACTTTCTTAGTTTAGTTCTCTTTTTCTAGGTCATTCAATACCAGAAGATATAAAACATATCTTTTCACATCATTTGAAAGGAAATTACTCCTCTAGTTAATATATAACTTTGAACTAATTCAGAATCATACTTTGTATTATATTAATAAGAAGACACTCTGGTTTAATACTGCACCTGGAGGAGGGGTGTAACTGTCCTCTGACAGGTGTCTCCATCTCTCCCTTTCTAATCCTCTTGGCACAATCACCAGGTAGATGGCCCAGAAGTGGTCACCAAGGACCAGCATCACCTGGGAACTTACTGAAGATGCAAATTCTTGGCCCTCCTTCAGACCGACTGAATCAATTACTGTCCGGGCAGGGTCCAGAACCTAGTTCTAGAGAGCCTGTCAAGTGATGAGACTAATGACACAGAGGCTCGTTTGTCTTAGAGCCCTGGGAAGATAAAGTGGTTCCCCATCATGGCTCCTTGGCTTGGCATTAAAAGCCCATATCTCACTCCAGTGTCTTACTTTCTGTCCTTGTACTCTACAGGTATTCATGGCATCCTAAAAGACTTCCTGAAAGACGTTCTGCCTTCCTCCTACTTTCCTTTGGCAAGCCTAGAGTATTCTCATCAAGGTGTCAGATGATACCCGATGGCCCTTTGAGGTCCTGTTCAAACAGCATGGCTCTAGTAACATCCCCCGATCTCTGTGGAAGTCTTCCTCCTCTGTACTGCTCTAGAAATCATTTATACCTCAAAGTGCCCCTATCAATCTCTTCTTTTTAATAGTTACTTTTGTGTCTCATTTCTTCTAAGCATAACCTCCTTGAAAGCATGGACTAGGTCTTGCTCACATGCACTCTCCACCATGTTTAAACCCAACACATGGAGATACAAAGCTCACTCCAATATTAATAAAATAAATGAATAATTGGGAATTGAATAAAAGAAGACAATGATTGTTTTAAAAGAAATGTAGCTGTATTACTTCACAGTTTCTCTCTGCCCCTCTGCTTTATGTGTTTGTTTACATTAAGAGACCATGGGTTCCTAGGAGGATAAGAACCCTGTCTTGCTCATTTTTGCGCCTCTAAAATTAGGCCCAGTGCTTAGTGTATGTATATATCTGTATATGTGTGTGTATAGCTATAGATAGATAGATAGATAGATAGAGTTATAGCCCTACACATTGACTGGCATTTTAAAAAATAGTGAGAATACATATGCTAGCATAAAATAATCAACTGCTGTAACAATTCACAGAAGTAATGAAGTACCCACTCCATTGAGCAGTTATTTTATTCTTCCTCCAAACTGTGTGTGTCAGGTTTGGGAGGTCAGATGGCAGAAGTGCCCAAAAAGACCAGTGCAAATGTGGTCACTCCCAAGGCCTAGAAAGACTATTTTTACTGTCATGTGTGGCTCTTCATACTCATCCCCCTTAAGACTTACATTTGAAGAAAAAACTCATTTGCTAAAGACCATTAATTAGATTAACATGGATTAATGACAGATATACATTTGGACCTCATAGATGAAGGATAAGAATCAAGTTTCCATAGCAAAGAATCTTAGAGCATTCATTTCTTTTTTTTTTTTAAGAATTATTTCATTTAGCTTTATTTATTTATTTATTTAACCAGAGAGAAACACTGTGAGAGAGAAAGAGAAAGGGAAAGTAAGAATGCAAGCCACCTGGTCCAAGAGTTGAACCATGGTCAGCCTAGTGGGAGTCCAGCGTCCTTAGCCACCATGCCACCTGCTGGCCCCAGAGTATTCATTTCTGATAGCTTACTTTGCATAAACATTTCTATCACTTATCCATTATTTTAAACATTAATTTTTAAAATGAATATTAAGTTCATGCATTTAGGTCTGTTGTCTTGGTAGCATAATATTCTTCTTCTTTTTTTTTTTTTTGGAGAGGTTTTTCGCTATAGGGCGCGTGTGCTCACCAGACAGACAGAGAGAGACATAGAGACAGAAAGCGAGAAATCACCCCCCAGCGGGGAGGGTCACGCCGCAATCCCTTCTCCTCCATTCTCCTCTCGTGATCTTGGGCACGCACGCACACGTGCCCGGCTTGAGTTTTAAGCCACTGGGTCCAGGACGCAAACCACGGTCGACTATGTGGGAGTCCAGCGACACAGCCATTACACTAACTGCTGGTTCCCATAATATTCTTGATAATGTTATTTATATCATTGATCTGTTCAGTTAATTATTTATTTAATTCATGATAAATTATCCAAACAATCAGGGTAATGGCATTCCAATTAATAAAAATAGACTGTATTTTTTCCCTTGAGGCAAAAAAAATGAGGTTAATTCTTTTTTTTCAGCTCAACCAACCTTTTCAACCTTTTTACAAATAAAAGCCAGAAAATAAATATTTTAAGTTTTGCAGAACACATATGGTCTCTGTCACCTGTTCTTCATTTTTCTTTTATAGCCCTTTACATTGCAAAAATACTCTTTTTTTAGAGAGATTTTTTCTTTAGGATGTGGGCACTCACGGGAGAGACAGAGAAAGAAAGTGAGAAATCATCCATCCAGGAAAGATAGCCTTACCACAACCTTCTCCATTATCCTCTTGGGATTTGGGGCACACACACATAAACACACATGTGCCCAACATAAATATCAATCTGCCAGGTCCAGGACTCGAACTTTGGTCAGCCACATGACACTCCAGCACCTTAACCATCTTGCCACCTGCTGGCCCCATAGAAACCATACTTAACTTATAGGCTGTATGAAAAGTGATTTGGATTTGACCCATGAGCCATAGAATAATATAAACATAAGTAGGTGATATGTAAATCCTACAAAAATTCATATATGTGGTAGTAATTGATTAGATCTTAATACTACTTTTACTCTATAAGTCAAGTCTTTTACTATCTGTAACTTGCCTACATAATAAAATAAAATGTAACTAAAAACTCATAAATAAATGATTAACTAACTTACAAATACTGGAGAGATAGTAGGCCTTCAAATGAATCCTTATGTAATTCAGTCAATTCGTTGTCACTGAGAATCCTAGAAAATGAAAAGGTGATTTCTGGATCAAAAAACAATCTAACAAAAACTATTTGCAAGACTAACTCCTGTGTATAGAGGAATCCTAAGTAGTGGTGCCACCTGAAAACCCAAATTCTTAAGAACTTCATTTCAAGATGGTAATGTCTTCTCTCCCCCTTCTTCTTTTTAAAATTTCCAGAGGGCACATGCACTCACCAGAGAGAGTGAGAGTGGGAAAGTAAGAAAGCATCCTCCATGGGGTAGGGTCTAAATTCCTTCTCCTCTGTTTCTCTCTCCTTTGGGGAGTTTTGGGCATGCATACATACAAGCCCAGAGTGCTTTCTGAGCAGCCCCGCTGGGACTCTGAGACTCGCCTCAGGCTGACCCTGTCTGCTCTAATTAAAACTTTTTCTCACATTCTCTTTTTTGCGTCCATCTCTGTCCTCCACTGCCCTCTGTCCCCACAAACCCCTACCACTCTTCCCACTGGATCACCTATCTCATGCCTACTCTCTCCCTCACAAAGTCCCATTTGAAACCCAATTCTGGGTGATACCAAGATCAGCAGAGCTGCCACTTCCTCCTCTCTTCCCAAACCTCATTCTGGAAACCCCACATGGAACTATGTCAGGGCTGCAAATGAAACCATTTGGTTTTTTTTTCTCCATAAGTTTTTTGAGAACTACAGTATGCATAAATTACACAGAGCACAAATGTTGTTTAATAATTATAAAGCAAATACATGTAGCACTCTCAAGGAAGAACACTGTTAGCGTTCCAGAAGCCCCCAGCCAGTGTGCCTCCTTCTAATCACAACCCTCTCTCATCCCCTAGAGGGAACCACTGTCCCAACTTTTATGACAATTTCCTTGCTTTTTAAATGACCTACTGTGTGAATGACATAATTTCATTTTGCTGCTTCTTGTACTTCATATAAATGGTATCATACTATATGTATTCTTTTCTATCTTCTGTCAGTGAATATTCTGTTTGTAAATTCAGGATCTTACTGCAGACAGCTGAGGTTGGTAAAAGTCACCACCTGTGTTGTATACTCAATAAGGAAGCCACTAGCTACATACAGCTACTGAGTATTGAGACTGCCTCATGTGACTAAGGAACTAATCTTGAATTTCAATCATTTTAATTATTTTTCCAACTTAAACAGTGATAGTCATATCCCTCAGGAGCCACCTCCTGCCCCTTCCTGTTCTCAGGGGAATACATCTGGAACACAAATCCCAGCCTCAC